GTTTAGCTCCCCCAGAAACCCAGGGGATAGTAGTGAAGCAGCTGAGCTATGGGGAGCTCAGGGACAGATGACTGGGAGTTCATAATCATAGGTTCTCCAGACATCTCTTAGCTGCAAATCTGTCCAAGAAATAAAGTGTTTGGGCAAGAGGACTTGTGAGAATGTCTGCTGGAGGAGCTGGAGCCACTCGGTTGTACTAGGAACAGGCCAGCAGTTTGTTTCACCAGCTCCAAGTCAGAAATCCCAAATGGACCAAGGGGTGGACATAGCAGATCTAAGTGCTCACTCTGAATCACCCTCTGACCTGACCAGCTTGCTTTTCTGTTTTCTGTTTTCAAAAGAGCCAGCCTTTGGGCAACAAAGTAGAAATGGAAATTGCAGACATGTTGGAAAAAAACACCTCCCTGCTGAAGTTTGGGTACCATTTCACTCAGCAAGGTCCCCGGCTCCGCGCCTCCAATGCCATGATGAGTAACAATGACCTAGGTGAGTCGGGCTGGCTGCAAGCCAGGGAGCACGGGAAGGTCCCTCCCTCTGCCTGGGGGCAATTCCTAGTGGCAGAAGGGCAGAACGGCTCACCTGAAGGCTCTGGTGGATATGCTTGAATTAGAAACCACCTCTTGAAGGGCCTGATCATGCCTTGCCCCTCAAGGAGGAAAGCAGCCTTCAGTGACTGGTTCCCTAAAGCACCTGCTGTTGGCCAGGCAATGGGTTGTGCTCCAAACCTGGAGACGCTGGGCAGCTAAAACTCCCAGAAGAGGCAGCGTTTTTGGCAGTAACAGCGGGTCTTGTTGGAAAGGAGCGAGAGCTGCTAACGTGCTTCAGTACAGCGCGTGATACAGCATATGGCACATGGGTTGTGAGCTGCCAGCACTTGTCATTTCTGCCAACTGCTTGTCTTCCTCCAGCTTCATTCCCACTTTAACACGCAGATGAAAAGTAGTAGAGTTGAACTTTGACAGCAGTGGGACTTGGCCCATACCCTTCAGCAAAACAGATTGGAAGTGTTTGTAGGGAGAGGTGGGGAACCACATGGCTTTGAGTTATCTTTGTACTATCAATGAAGTGATCGGAAGTGCTTGTGAAGCAAAATGAGGGCAAGTCTGCAAATTGCCATTTCAGCCGATGCATGTGGCAGAGGCTTTCCATTGCTTGGCTACGAGTTGCTGTAGAGCACTGGAAATCAGTCCAGCAGAGCGGTAGTGAATGCAGCCAGCATCCCAGCCACGCTGTACTCAGTGGCTCCTGACTGCATAGGCCAGGCGGTTACAAACATGGCAGCGCCAAACTCCTGCTCCACAGCAGCAAATATAGCTGGGAGGAATAAGCAAAAGTTGGCAGATTGTCCTTTTTGTACATTAGGAAGAACTCCTTCCCCAGGAGGGTGAGGGTTTGCAAGACTTGAAGGGACAGGGCCAGTGGCGAGCGGGAGGTTGGGCTGGGGGCTCCCAGAAACACCCCCCCACCAGTAGTGCTGATGGGTTCTGCCAGACACATCTAGAATGCAAGGGCTAACAGGCAGGGTCTGAGAATAGACCTAACATATAAATGCCAGCCATGAAGAAATGGTGGAAGACTGGAACCATGTATTTTAATCTGCATATGGTTCACCACAGACAAGGTCTTCTGTCCCTTCATGAATCAACTTCAGGTTTTAAGCGCCACAGAAAAATAGCTTTAAGTGGCTGCCATATTTAGACTGATGATAAATATGTTGTGTTTTAAAAAATTAAAAAAAAAAAAAAAAAATCAATCTTGCTTCAGCCAGTATCATGCTCCTAGGAAGCCCAACCAAACATAGAGGTATGTGCCAGTTTTTCAGGGACCACACAGAATACTCAGTATTACGGTTCACTGCATATTTATTCTGCCTGCAGCTGCATTCCTGGTCACTAGAGAGCTGCACCAGGAAAGGCTTGCTATTTTGTCCTTTGGACCAGAGCAAGGCTTTTAATAACCATACAGCACCTGGCATTTGAAGTAATCAGCTGGAAGATTTGAATCTAGTGTTTTCATTGTTCCTGCTGTTAAGCGGAGGAATTCACAACTTGCCTTCCATGTAACAGTTGTGCATTTTTGCCTCTTTGACCATTATCATCTGCATTTTTTTGTCTGATTTGGTTCTTGTTTGCAGCTCATATTCATCAGTCTGATGGTCTCTGGCAATAGCATCTCAGCTCTACACCTGGACAACGTATAAGTATAGAAAAACTTTATCTTCCTCCCTGTCAGCAATTGCTCTCTGCTTGTGCTCCACTTCAGTGCTCTTGCCTACTATCACCTGATGGTACCAAACTTGGTTTTGGTCCTATCGCTTCTGTTCTCTAAGATGCTCTCTAGGAACCAACTATGAAGGCTTTTACATTCATCCTCATAAGATAACTTCTGCATCCTCTTTATACCTTTTTTTCTTTTTTTCTTGCATTTCTTGAAAAGTCATAAGTGTAGCTGTCAGAGCTGTAAAGCAACTTTAAACATAGATATGAGACTACATTGACCATGTTAACCATGATGGGAGGGCTGGAGGCTAAAGGCTTAAAATAAGAAATGAGATAGCATTTATTTAATTTTGTTTTTTTTATTTTAAAGGGCAATTGAGAAAAACTAGCAAAGGAAAAACTGTGGCATCTGTATGCTATCTTTACATCAGTCAGCATCAGATGATGCTTTGGTCAAAGTCAGATTACAAAGACAAAACTGTGTGAAATATAATTGACTGTAGAATAAGGGAGGTAAGGCTGAAAGTAGCTTCTGGCCTTAAAAATTCATAGGGAGAGAAACCTCATCTTACCTTCCTTGATTTTAAACTGTGTAAGGCTGTGCCTGCTGCTTAAAGCAGGAGTTCAGAAGCTGACGCTATCCTGTTTCTTTCCTGGCAGAAAGTACATCTCTCAGCTCCTTTCCACAGCGGGTACGCCAAGCCTGCCATCCACATCTTCCCATTGCCATGACTGACTCCTCTTGCTCTTCTTTTTCAGTGAGGAAGAGGAGACTTGCAGAGTTGAACGGGCCTATTTTTCCCAAGTGCCGAACTGGAGTCTAACTCCTGGCTATGGAGGTTATTCCCAGTGATCTTGTGCTACACTGTGGAAACCTAAAGGCAATAAGTGCCTTGATGGAGTATTTGTGGTGCCTCAGTTCTGTTTTATGCACTAACAGTTTAAATTAACTAGTGGCTGTAGTTGAAGATTTTATCCCATAGGACTGTTGATGTTTTCTGTAGAGCTGGAAACTATTCAAGCCAGTAATAACCTGCCAATTTTATGCAATCTCAGTTTAGAGTACATCCCAGTGTAAAAGTGACTCTTAATTAACCTGGGACCTAATTTTTCTATAAACTTCCTGCACGGTGTTTCATACAGTTAGGATGTGGTATGCATGAGTGAAAGATACAACTGTTCCACACAAATGATAGAAGTATTAAAAAAATACTTTATTTTTTTTTTTCCAAATTGATCTCAAGTAACTATAGAGGAGCAACTAGTTTAACAAGCACTTCTACAACCTGAAAACATGGCTAATTTCAAGAATTGTGAATTAAAATTTTTTACCGACATTTGCTGAGTCAATTAGTTGGAGATGCTGTTTCAAATGCATCCCTGTGTTTCTTAGGAAAAAAATTCTCTCCATCCCATTTAAATGGAACTTAAGGCCACCAATTATAAAACAGAGTCTCAAAAATTGAGCAGCTTAGGATGGGTTAATATTCTTCTATCCTATGCATGTCTGAAGAAAACAGTCACCTTTAGAGATGTGATGCAAATCCTAACCCCACAGAGATGACCAAACTAATCAGCAAACCAGAGCGCTCTCTTCTAATCCCCACTCTCTTCAGTTTCCTAATGTTAAAAGTGTGTGTCCAGATACTCACTCGAAACAAGTCAGATTCTCTCTCTCTGCTGTTTTGTGTAGATGATGATCATGTCCATTAATTAAATTTTGTTCTGCTAGGGATCGTTTCTTTCACTGCCGTCCCTAATGTCTGCATAAATGCAACAATAAATGCTGTGCCCTAGAAAAGCTGTTAAGTGAAATACCCCAACTCTGAACTTACACTGCATGCAGTCTGACAGCTTTTTGTCAGACAGTCTACTACCCATTATCTAGCCTGGGAGGAATTCCCCACAGGCTTGCATAGCTCCCAGACATGCAGTGGATTGGACCCAGCACTATCCCATCCAAAATTCCCTCTATTAACATGGGAGGGATCCTGCTCGGTAGAAAGTCTCCTGGCAGAAGCACTGTCATACTGAAGCCTTATTCTTGGTCTGATGACAACATGTCCTGGAAAATGTTCTCACTTGCTAGAAATCTGTCTGCACACCTCTGTTAAAAGTGAAATTTTGCAGCCTTTTACACATATTCCAGCAAAAGTCCCACAAATTTCTTCAGAGCTTGTGCGCAAATACTACCCACGATTTAGCTCTGACCAACGAAGCAGAGAAACACTATACTTTCAGCAATGTGGGAAACATATTTGTTGCTCTTAAAATCTTAATAAATGTGCCAGTAGTGTCAAATTAAATGCTTCACTATAGCTTCTTCCCCTCACCCTGCAAGTTCCATATCAGAAAATGAAAAGAATGCAGAAGAAAAATACTTGCAAACATATTTAAAAAAGAAGGAACCTGGCAGACAGCCTTTTTCTTTCATATGTACTGCAAAGACTTCAGAATGGTCAACTAAATCATCAAACCAGAGCCACCCAGTTTCAGCTGAGCCATACACTCAGATTTGCATGGTTTCCAGCGGCCCCATCCACTCAGATTTGCATGGTACAGGCTCAGCTCTTCCATTGGCTTCAGAAGAACAATAAATCTTATCTTGGGAAATTCCGATGGCGCTAAGAAACCCAGACACACAAGGAGATGCATCTGCAGAGGAGGAAACACTACCATGGATACTATAACAGCATTTTTTTCCCAAATGAAAAAAAAAAAAAGCCCTTAAAATAA